ATATTGGTGTCATTTTTCAAATATCAACATGTTATTTAAACTTCTCGTTGGAAACCCATTCTGATGGAAAGTGAGCATCAAGTAATTAGCGTTCCTATTAGGTAATGTTCCTGGAAAGCCTTGGTAAAGTAGCACTATAAAATTCTAGTGATTTCTTGTACCATTTACTGTGACCTTTTAATTTTTTTTAAAATACTTCTGAAGAGCTTTGAAATTTTGTATAATTTTTCTAGAAACACTCCTTTCATGTACAACTTTATAGTACTTCTGTACTTGCCATAAATTTTCGTGCATAAGTCTGCTGGTGGCAGTTTTTATCATATTTCTTGACTACTGTCCTTGGCAGTCAAAGGCTGTGTGAAGATTCATTGCTTTTAACTGTAGTTAGCAACAACAAAAGCAGCTTGCAGTATACCAGGGCCTTTGGTCCTCTGCTATCTGAAATATGTTTGCCAAGGTAAAACTGCAGTCTCAACACTGAGCAAACAGTGGCATATCTGAGCCTGCCCCGTTCATCTAGAAATGCTTCAGTGTCTTCCCATTTTAACAGCTGAAACATTCTATGGTGTTTCCCCTTTATTTTTCTTTTAGCATGGATTAGCAGTAGAGATGTTTCCTGAAGAAAGCTTGGTAAAGGGAGGGAGTATAGCTTGTCATTCCAGTGACTGCTCTCTCTGAAACATTATCCTGTGCTTATGTGGGAGTGTGTTAGATGGTGTTTGTTACTCATCCTTGAGGCTCTGTGAGAAAGTTAAGACCTGAATAAACTTTTGATGTTCCCAAATGTACTTTTGAGGAATATGATTATTGCTCCTTCACCAGTCAAGTTAACCAATCTACTGGAACTGTGTGGTTTTGGTTTTGGGGGGGAAAAACCCAAAACCTGAAGATGATGGGACTGTTGTTTTCAGTGTCCCACTGGAGGCAGATTATGGCACCTTTTATTTCCCTGTGGAAGAGTGCTTTCCAAAAGTGAGACCTGGTCTTTAAATAGCAGTGTTGGAGCACCCCAGATGAACTGTAATGCCTGAAATAACAACTTCAGAACCTTCTTACTTGTCAATTTTTGTGCTTCTTGCTGTTATCGAGTGGGGGGTGTGCTTTTATTAACTGTTGTTAAGTGATTTTTTTCTTTTGCTTTTCCAGGCTCCATGAGGCCCGCTCAGGAGATATCTGCAATGCCTGTGTTCTTTTGGTGAAAAGATGGAAAAAATTACCAGCAGGATCCAAAAAAAACTGGAATCACGTTAGTCACTTACTTCTCTTCCACCCCAAACTAACTTTTTCTAGAGAGGGGAGGTGCTGGCAAGGGTTGGGGTTTGCTGTTTTCCCCCACACTCTCCCTTTCCACCCTCAGCATTTCTAAATCCTTCCTGAAGTGTTTCCTGTTATGTGGTTCTTACCTGCCTTCATTTGGTTTATGTGCAAATGGTGATTATGCAAGCCTGAGCTGGAGGTACAGACTGATTTGTCTTGTAATTCCTTGTTTTCACAAGCACATAACTTTGTCCAAAAGTCTCTTATGACACTCAAAACATTTCAAATTTAGCTGGGTTTTTTTTTTCCAAGCAAGGTGACTTGCTAAAGCAACTCATAAATCAGTGTCATTTAATCACATAATTACAATGACTAATATTTTGCGGCTATTCCCACTCTTACCTTCTGTTTTGATACATCTAATTCCATTTGGGCCTAGGGCTGGAAGATGATCAGGATTCCTTGTATATGTAATAATCCCATGGTAATGGGACCCAGAGCTATGGGTATTACTACCAATAGCTTTAGTCAGGTTGAATTTGTTATTTTCAAAAAACAACTCCAGGGCAAATGCTTGGCAGGCACTCTTAACTGTACCTTATTGGTGTATACAAGTGTTGTGTACTAAACTGAATTTGTCAAAAATGAGAAGCTGGCAAAAGTTGAACTGAATGTGCTTTTTTAACTAGTTTGCTGCATTTTCCTACAGGCTCTGCCTCTTACAAACCAAATATAAATGAAACATGAGTGTCAGTGCATAGAACTGCCTTGGTTTAACTGAATTGGTTTTGAACACCTCCACATTAGTCAGTACAGGTACCTCAGCTGAGGCAGTGTCTGGGTATGAGGCAGAAGTATAACCACATGCATTTCTGTGTTCTAGGTGGTAGATGCCAGGGCTGGACCCAGTCTTAAAACAACATTGAAACCAAAAAAAATGAAAACTCTGTCTGGAAGCAGAATAAAGAGCAATCAAATCAGCAAACTGCAAAAGGAATTCAAGCGGCACAGTAAGTGGATCCAAAAAGATTTTGGAAATAAGCTTTAGCCTCCCCTAACATAGCTTACTGTTAGCTGGCTAAACTGAATCACCATCTAGATTTGATTGTGCATTCACACATTTGGGCACTCCCTTTTCACAACCTCCATTCTCTGAGAGCTTGGCAGGAGTGGGTGCAATGAGGAGGAAGAGCTTGGGTCCAGGGTGGGCTGTGAGACAGAGGTGGGGAAGTGGCAGGGGGGAATGGGGAGCCTGGTTTGAAAGTGTAGGCAGTTGTAGCTTATGTCCCATACTTAAATCACATGTGTCCAGAAGAATTTACTGGGCAAGACCCTCATTGAAACTGAAGTTGGAGCAGGCTTCCCCCTGCTCTCAGTAATGTGCTATAACCACTTTCAGCTCTCTTTTCCCAAGAAGCATTTAGGTCTTTTTCTCCCGTAAGTGCATTCAGCCCAGGCTTTCTATTTAGCCTGGATTTCCTTTCTCCCCTTTAAATTCCTACCATATTTTCTTGTACCTTCCTCTGATGGTCTCAGTGGCTTCATTCCACTAGCACATGGACTCTTCAAATAGATCTGAATTCATAGCTTTCCAACAAAGCCATCTGCCAGTTATGCTCTAAATATATGTCAGTACTTTAGGTTTTTCATCTAAAGCAAACTTTCCAGCTTCTTAGCTGTTGCTGACTTGGTCTTTTCTCTCTTGCAATTATTCTACCTAGAATCAGTAAAGTCCTTGACCCAAAGAGCTTGTAACTCCTCATTGTATGTGCTGTAGTTAATCTAATTGTTACTGTAGCTGCTAGAGATGACAGCTGAAAGGTAGGCAAGTAGGCACTCTGTTAAGGATTGTGTCTGCACTGAGTCCATAATTCATAGTCTTGATCCAGCAAAAGCTCAATACTGCCTAATACTGCCTAGTGCATAATGAGAATATATATATGTAAAATGCACTAGTGAGAAGAGCTTTGCAAGACTTTACCTCAGCGGGTGAGAAGGGAGGTGTACAGTGAGAGATGAAGAACCAGGTCTGAAGCACAGATACCCATCATCTTGAAGGAAGTTCCTCTGGTTCCAGAGCATGGCTTGCATGGGCTGTGTTTGAGCCAGGAACTGAAGCCTGATCCTGAGCCTCCTTCCAATCCCCCATGTACAAGGACCTTCTCCAGTTCCAAGGTCTGTGTCCCACAGGCTTACAGATCATCTCTGCATTGAATCCAGCAGGAGCAAGTGAAAGAAATAGGTGGTGGTTGTTAGGTTTTTCTTGTTAATTAAGAAAAGACTGTTCCAAATCCACATGCAACCTATTACAAGTCACCGGGTGCACCTTCTGATTGTTGAGTTTGCTCTTTGCCCTGCAGATTCCGATGCTCACAGCACGACTTCAAGTGCCTCCCCTGCCCAGTCCCCCTGCTACAGTAACCAGTCGGACGAAGGCTCTGACATGGAGATGAGCGCTGGCTCCAGCAGGACTCCAGTTTTTTCCTTTTTAGATCTCACCTATTGGAAAAGGTAAGCAGCAACAGAACATGCACTCTGTGCAGACAGCAATTCATGTCACGTACACACTGCTTGATTCTGCTGTTTCAAGAGTTGCTGCTGCTGAACTTCAAGGATGTAGTTTAAATCACAGAGCATTATACAATGCCTGTCTGTCTTTGGAAATAAATGCCATGTGTTTAAGATACTTCCCCCTATCTCGCTCCAGTTCCCTAAACACAGTTGCTGGAAAATGTTTTTACTGTTTTTGGGACTGACAGATAATATTCCTGTCTGTCATTATCTTGTCTTGTAACTATGCCCTGTAGATGTGATGTGTTGCCAAATACAAGAGTGCTCTCAGCTTGCCAGCAAAACACAGCACTTGATTTGGTTGACCTGTAATGGTAGTTGTCGGGGGGGGGGGAAGGAAAACCACAAGGTTTTCTGGGAACTGATGAGCTTGTTATCTTTTATTACATGTTGTGACACAGTAATCCCTTGTTTAGCTAATTGGTCCATTGAAATTGTGACTTTGCTGCCTCCTCTCAAATAAAGTTTGCAAGTGCATTGTAACATAGGTTAGTGCAGCTCAGATACTTGTGTATCTGGAGCTTCTCTGGGAAGCAAAGTGGGAGCCTTAGTTTTGTATAGGCATGTCTAGATTTTTCCTCTGTTCTTTTTTTTTCCTCCCCTCCCCACAGCAGTGTTGTGGATTTAGACATGGATTTTTCCTTTAGTGAGCAGCTTTTTTTGCCCCTATCCTCTGAGCTGAAGGCTCAGTAAAGTAGTGTCTGAGGTCAGGCTTATTTTTTGCAGTTTTGTAAATTCCCTGTATTCTAAACACATAAAGTACCTGTCTCCTTGCCGTGTCTTCCAGGCAAAAGGTCTGCTGTGGAATTATTTACAAAGGCCGTTTTGGGGAAGTCCTCATAGACACTCATCTCTTCAAACCTTGCTGTAGCAATAAAAAATCTGCCACTGAAAAACCAGAACAAGAAGGACCACAATCTCCAGTAGTCTCCACCCAAGAGGAGTGGTGACTTCCTTGGATAGCTGCAGAAGATTATACAGATCCTCTTATTCTCTGGAAAAATACTAGAAAAGTGACTGTTCACTTCGGACACCTGCTATGCTGCCAAAAGACTATTCCTTAGACCTGTTTTGGGTTTTATTGCTACAATTCCACAAACTCTGAAGCCAGTTTGAATCCTTTCAGAAAGACTGTACATAATATTTAAGATGCTATGGAACACTTGGCAAAGGTTTTGTATATTAAAGTATATGTAGTTCATGTTTCTGTATTGAAAGAAGCAGTGGTTGTAATGCTTTTTTTATTATTTTAAAAGTTGGTTGGTAAACTCCCTTAAATCCCCAAGAAAATATTTCACTCCTAGACATGTATGAGCCGATAACATAAACTAATACATAAAAATGTTATAAGTCATCTCTAGTTATATAAATATGTATTTTTCAAGGTGTGGAGATTTCACCCTATACTACTGATGTAACAAACAAATATTTCATCCCTCCCATGTGACACAGATTGGTAAACTGCAGACATCTGTACTATGAGTGGTTGCTATCTGAGAAGGCCTATAACAAAGTGCTCTTCAGGAGGAGTGGGAGAGCTCTCCTCCTTAGCCAAGGAGGAAGCTTTTACCTAAGAACTGAACAGAGCAAAAAGAGAGGCTACTTTATATTAACCCAGCAGCAGTTACCCTGGGCTTGGTCTAGTAACTGACCGGTGGCTAGAGGTGGACCAAGAAACATCTTGGTACCCAAGTTAGGTGTAGATGATGGGCAAACCAGAGTAACTGCTCTCTGTTGGCCCACTGCAGCTGGTATGTGACCACAGATAAGACGATTCTTGGTTTTGGACCTGACATAGAACCAAACCCTTTGCTAAGTATATCAGGCTCTGGTTCAGGGGCATAATCTGATTGCAGCCTGGGGTCTGGATTCACAATTGCTGTTTTTAAATGCTTCCCCTGCAGTGCTTCCCTGTGTTTGGGTTGTGTTTTTCTTTGTTTGTTTGTTTAAGCAACCACCAGGTCAATGCTTCTGTGAATACTGGATATGAAAAGTTCTGTTGAGAATGATGTTGTGCTGAATCCAGGCAGCTCTGTTTGCATATGTGATCAAAAGATAATACTTTCTACACAGATTCCCAGACAAACTTGTGTGCAAGTCACTGACACTCCTTCAAACTCCACTTTGCCTGTAGGGTGGAAGCAGCTTCCTGGAAGATTGTGCTACAGTTTTAGCTCCCAGTTGTTTCATGTTCCTTTTATGAAGGTTTAACTTGTGTGAGTTGGCAATTCTGCTTTTTGTTTGTTCGGTTTTTCTCTGGTTTTGGGGGGAGGGGGGGATTTTGCTTACTTTTACTCTTTTGGGATCTCCTACAATGGATTGATACAAGCTTTCCTTTTTGTGAGAGTCATCGACATAATACTGTGGTGGGTAGGGTTTAGGACTGGATTTCCGTGTAGTCTCCATTCCTGAAATGGGAATACTTAGCAAATGAAAATATAGATA